CTTTCACGGCTGAATGGGTGAAAAATTAGAGAGACTAGAGGGAAAAATTCTCTGACAGCCTTTCTTCGTGAAGGGAACGTCAAATCGGATCTTGCGACAGGGGACTAGTTGAACGGGCGATATTGGGCCGGCCAAATTTTGCTGTGTACGCATCAAAAGACATTAAAGCCGCTCATTGGAAATATCAAAATAAGTTCTGAAAACAATGAGGGAATACAGAGAAATAATTCAGAATGTCGGCCTACCTTTGAAAACGATAGTTTTTAGTAAAAGTTAAGAAATTAGCGTTGAACAGTGTTTCGTAAAGGTCCCTGGTTCAAATCCAGCGGCCCAGCATTCGAACCCACTTACAAATGGGCGTTTTTTCAACAATCCGCCACCGCTAGGTTGATATGACCATTGCTGTTGTGAACACCATGTAAAAGAAGACTGTAGGAAATGATTATCATAAAAGCGCATCTATGTCTTAAAATTTAAAAATTTTCAGTCTGAGAATCAATGGATTATGGTGTAAACTTTCAGTATCACATTTTTTCTAAAGAAATTTTTTGTTTCTAACAAAATGCACCTACCAGGGGGAAAAATTATGTACCTACTTAAGATTTAAATTATTTACTAAGCCCAATAATTGTAGCCAAAGAAGGACTGAGATTTAAAATATATAAATATATGTTGTAGGAATGAGTGAGATGAACTATTTAATCTATTACAATTAATTAAGGTTTTTAGTCGAGATAAAAAAGTCAATGGCACGAGCGGGATTCGAACCCACGATCTTCGGCTTGATACGCCGCTGCTCTACCACTTGAGCTATCGTGACCTCGATCCACTCGGACACCAACTTCCCATCTCAACCGCACCTGTGGAATTTGCCCTCCTTTTTGCCATTTTATTTAATCTAAATTTTGTATTCAAAATCAGTGATAAGGCAGGCGAATAGGAATGTTAGAACTTCAGAAGTTTTATAAGAATGTTAGAAGTTTTATAAGATTCATTCGTTTTGTTATTTATTGTTACCACAAGCAAACACAGTACAAAATCAGTTAGAACATGAACTTTTACGAGTTTTCAAATTTCATCTCAAAGTTTAAATGTGTGTGATTAGTGACCGTTAGTCGACGATTATTCTGAAATAGAAATACTTTGATTGAATATAAAAAATATTTTTTTGCATTGTATAAATTCACTTTTTTCCACATCCTACAAGTATTTGTTAAATTTAGACAATGGTTGTAAATCCCAGGCCCTGAAGATGATCTCTATAAAGATCGAAACGTTGGCACGATAAAGAAAATGTTTTTTTGAAACCTACATCACACCAGACCGCATCTCACGATTTCTGAATAATTATCGATTAACGGTCACTAATCACCACACATATTTGAAAGCTTATTACTTTTTCGGCCTATCCAAGTTATTGCTTAAAGTGCTGAAAAAGCTATCAAACAATCAATTAAATCAATGGACAAATTAAACAGAAATTAGGGATAAAAGTTTCACATAAAGCGCTTAGTTTTTAATTTATATCCTTATTTTTGTCTCATAGTTAAGAATAAATGGTGTATGTACGATGTGAAGATGAATGGTGAAAAGTAACAATATACTAGTTTAAAAAAAAATTTTTGCGCTTTCGCTCAACGGTTTTTACTGATTATTTTCCATATGAAACATTTTTTTCTCATTTGTGCTGTGTTCTTTTCTTCGGACTGTTTCCTTTTCCTTACTCCGTTTCTTTTTTTGTCCAACTAGAATTTAATAAGATTTGTTTAGGAATGTTCCAACTCGGACGTCCTATTCGATCAGTACGATTAGATCTGACATATACGGACTTCAGGGTAGATTATCCCTTGCAATTTTCTAGCATTGTATAAATTCATTTTATTTTTTTTAAATCTAAAATTTTGAGCATTGTATAAATTCATTTTTTTCATATCCTGCTTGTATTTGCACAATTTAAACAATGTTTATAAATCCCAGGATCTGAAGATGATCTCAATAAACATCAAAACGTTGGCACGATAAAGAAAACGTTTTTCTGAAACCTGCATCACACCAGACCGCATCTCACGATTTCTAAATAATCATCGATTAACGGTCACTAATCACCACAAATTTGATTTATGTTTTGTTCAAAGTCAATGAAATAAAACAGGTACAATTTAATTAAAATTATATTGTATAAATAAATCAAATTCATTTCTTGATATCTATCAAATATATAATTTCTTATTATTTGTTTTATTTATTTTATTCTTCATATTTTTTACGAAAAGTTAGTAAAAGAAGCTTTAAGTTCAGGCAATAATCATTTGGTACGTTTTTCTTGATCGGAATATTAAAGAAACAATAGGAGGACTTACTTAAATTGAATTCGCCCAAAACAATGTTGTATAAAGGAGAAATTTGGCCCAAGTTTGTAAGCCCAAGTGTTGACAGAAGTCGATAGGGCTTGTTCGGAGACGATAATACAACATAATTAAAAACAAAAAAGTCTCTTGAAGGTACTTTCTCTGCCGGGCCTGACTTTGGCTGTCTTTAATGAATGAAAAACGTTTCTTTCGCCAAAGTCTCTCGAAATTAACTAATTAATTTTAATGGAAAATTTCATTTCGATCCATGTTTGGCTAAAGAAAAAAGTGAAAGTAATTGTTGTTGATAAAATCGTGCCTGTTCAATTTTGATTAAACTTTTATGTTAAAAGTGTTTCTTTTTTGTAACAATAAAAATCGTCTCCTCGTTTAATTTATTTTCCATACCTCGGGATATTCCTTCTAGAGCTACATTCAGCGCATATGGAGCGTAAGATTTCAAATTGAAAGCTTTGATATATGAATTTTGGCCTCATTTGGCATACAATCATAAAAATGAGAGGACGTTTATACCCCTATATATTTTTAAATATTAAAGATACTCTGCGTAATACTTACAAAAACTTAGAATAATATTTTAGAAATATTTTTACTCGAAAGTATATTTACTTGCTTCGAAACCTGGAAATAAACTTAGATTTGTCAGAAAAAACTGTTGACACTGCATGTATAGTACGTATGTATAAATTTTATTGTACATAATTTTGATCTACAATATGTGTTTACATAGTTGTATCCAATAGATTCCATAGCAGTATTGTACCTTTTTCCCTAGTCTGCATTAAGTATAAGACGCATTGTACCTTAAAATAAGCATTAAATATATATGTCTCAATTAATTAATGGTTTTAGTCGTATGTCGTGTTGTAATGACACATCTACACAGAAAACATACACTTTGAGCCCTAAAGATGATCTCAATAAAGATAGAAACGTTGGCACGATAAAGAAAATGTTTTTCTGAAACCTACGTCACACCAGGCCGCATCTCACGATTCCAGAATATTCATAATTTAAGTAACGTTTTCTTGTTGAAACTGAAACATACATCAATGCTTGTGCCTTAGAAAATGTTAAAAACGGTAACACTGGAAAAACATCCTCATAAGATCGGATTGTCAAGCACCTATTAAAGCATTAGCATGTAAAACAAATGACATCAAAAAGAGTCTCTGAATCCATCCAAAACTTCCAAAACCCAGGACAAAAAAGACAAAAACATGATGATGGGTAACAGGGCAAGAAGGAATTTTACGTAACGAAAAAACAGATTGACAAGAGGAAGATCTGCAAGGAAGATATAAGCCCTGACCCTATTCTAGGTTTTACAAAAAATTAACCTTCCACCTCAGAATGGATTAAAAAAGGAGAAGTGGATAAATTCTAGACATGCTAGACACATTTATGTTAAGACAACTCTCACCAAGACGGGCAAACTTCATATTCTTATTTGTTCAATTTTGTAAAAATCAAATTTTCATCAAATAAACGTGATAAATAAAACTGATAATTTTCCTTTGAGAAATTAAGTACCTGTGTTTAAAGCTCAATAATATGGACATTTCTCTAAGCGCTATATCTGTCCGCATTTACAGAAAAACATTACTCAAACTTTAGACAATAATTTTGGAATGTTGTAAAATTTTATTTTCTAACTGATTTTTTAAATTTGTTTGCTTAAGGTTACTAGAACAAAAAATCCGTCTTATAGGATTTTTAATTCACTTCTCATTAATTTAATCAAATTTAAATTCGATTAAATAGTTTATGAGATACAGGTGGCTAATTGAGAAATAGTTTTCCTATTCTTTTATTTTACTTTTTTATTTATTGAAAGCACTCAGCTTAACAGATTATTTATTAAATAATTCATCTGTGAGTAAACTCTTATCACATTTTTCTGTTTGGTTGGTTTTATTATATTAGTAAAAGTTGCTGTTATTATTTCCTGTTTCAGTAAAGAAATAACGTTTGCTTTAAGTTCACAATAGAAAACTAGGTTTTTACTTGAAATGGAAAAAAGTTAATGGCACGAGAGGGATTCGAACCCACGACCTTCGGCTGGATACGCCGCTGCTCTACCACTTGAGGTATCGTGACCTCGATCCACTCGGACATCAACTCCCCATCTCAACCCCACCTTATGAGTTTTCCCTCCTTTTGCCATTTTTNAGTTGATGTCCGAGTGGATCGAGGTCACGATAGCTCAGGTGGTAGAGCAGCGGCGTATCTAGCCGAAGGTCGTGGGTTCGAATCTCTCTCGTGCCATTAACTTTTTTTACATCTCAACTAAAAACCTTAATTAATTGTAAAGTATTAATTGGTCAAGCGGACCACGAAATTAGTGAATTTATAGAAAACTAGTTTCAACTTTTTTATTAAATTACTTATTTACAAAAAAAATTTGAGTGGGAATCAGTCAAACAGTCTGAAAATGTTATTTCTATCCAAAACGACTTGATTACCGTTCTCTGAAATTACAGTGATGAGCGAGATGGTAACGAACCGTTCTTAATCTATTTAATTAAAGGTTTTTATATTAAATGATCTGAAAAACGAAAGTCCACTATCCCCAGGTCCATTATTGAATGGAATCCATGGTAATGTGACTAAAATGGGTTAATTTATGTTTATAAAATAAATTCTCATCGGCTACTATTTCTCCACGAATTACAGCATAAGCTACAATCAATTTCAATGTATTAAAGTTTCTTTTGCAAATGTTAGTCAAAATTGTGAAAAAAATTCACCTTACAGTTATTAAATGAACAAACATAATAATGTCAATGAGAGGTTAAAATGAAAATTATATCATGGATCGCCGATTAGTCTACCGCCGTTGTAAGTCTACCTAAGATGTTGGCCATTTTTTTTATGTCATGGATAATATTCCTTTCCGGCAGATTAAGGCCCGCCCCCATTGGAACCAATTAGGATACCAGGAACCATTGTGGTAGAAAGGGTCGAGCCATTACAGCCCCATTCCAGCTGTCAGATTGAATAAGGTAAAGCTTGTCTGATTACTAGCAACATTACGTTTGCCCCGTTTATTTTGCCTGACAGTTTAAAACACATGATACACTCGTTTTTGAACAGGGTGTACAAATAATGGTGGTCCACTTACCACAAAACACAGTTAAGACGGAGAAAAGAAGAATTATAAATTTGGTCAATCCACTGTATAGTTAGTATTTGATTTTCACATTTTTTGTTAAATCGTACTCAACTTAAAAAATTATAAATTGCATAATTAATGATTTTCAGATTTCCTAAAAGAGAACCAACTACCTGGTTTTTGCACGAAAAAATGGCCAACTTTGGAAATGCATATTTCCCCAGCTTTTTAAGTCACAGACCTGCCATAGGTCTAATTTTTTTGAAAATTTTAGGCTTAACAAGTTGATTTTTTTCCTACCTTCAGTCATTCATCAGTTAATTCAAAAATTCGTGAACATGTGAATTTTGCACGTTTTACGAAAACTTCAAATTGAGCTCTGGAGACAGGCAATCATCCTAGCGCGGCGCCCTTTAGCCATCGATAGGAAATTTTAATAATCTTTCAATGTTTTCAGTTATTCACTTTGACCGATTTGTCAACCGTTTTCGAGTTATACGCGATTTTTGGGCAAATATGTACATAAATTATATTGTCAATACAAGTAAATCCGGTCGGTTTATTTAACCGCATATTGTTGTTTGAAAAGTTTGAAAAAATTACCTACAAAAATACTTTTGAAAGATTCAGATAGATTTACGTTTTTGAAATAAAATTACGTGTAAAGATGAACCAAATTTCCACAAAAACAATAGATTGATGAAAGTTTACAAAAACCTGTTATGAAACTTAAATTTCACAAAACCACTCGAATACAATAGTAAACCGAAAAAAGGGTTACTTTAATTGTCCTTTTACGTGAAGAGAAAAGATAGAGAGGACGGGAGAAAGAGAAAGACAGACGGACAGGAAGACGTAGAGAGTGTGAGAGAGATAAATTGAATGAACGAGCGAGAAAAAAAGAAAGAGAGAGAGAATGAATGAGAGCTGGGGGTTCGATTTTGGCGAAGTGAGTAGAAGAGAGAGCCTGACCGATTAAGAAACGGAAATAGAATAGAAAGAAATAGAGAGAGAGAGAGAGAGAGAGAGAGAGAGAGAGAGAGAGAGAGAGAAAGGAAGCTAGAATGAATGAACACAGATCGAATAAGAGATTGTTAGACTTTGGCGGAGAAAGGTTGAAAGAAATAAAGATAAATTAGGACTTAAATAACTGTAAGGGTTGAGAATCGTCAATAAAAGATAAATAGAGAGAGAGAGAGGAAGAGAGAGAGAGAGAGAGAGAGGAAGAGAGAGAGAGAGAGAGAGAGAGAGAAAAAGAGAGAGAGAGACGGAGGGAAAGAGAGAGAAAATGAATGAATTAGAGATGGAGTTTGATTGTGGTGGAGGAAGAAGTAGAGAGAGAATGATTGAATAACAAAAGGAAGACAAGTGGGGGGAGAGAGAGAGAGGGAGAGAGCGAGAGAGAGAGAGAGAATGAGTGAACAGAGATCGAATAAGAGATTGTTAGACTTTGGCGGAGAAAGGTTGAAAGAAATAAAGATAAATTAGGACTTAAATAACCGTAAGGGTTGAGAGCCGTCAATAAAAAATAAATAGAGAGAGAGAGAGAGGAAGAGAGAGAGAGAGAGAGAGAGAGAGAGAGAGAGAGAGAGAGAGAGAGAGAGAATGAATAGAGATGGTTAGAGTTTGGCGGAGAGTCATTGAGAGACAGAGAATGAATGATGGACAGAAAGAATGAGATATTTTGTCCCAATTTGTAGAAGAGAGAGCAAGAAATTTACTAGGACAGGAATGAAAGAGATAGGGTAAAATTTTGCCTAAGTGAGAGCGAGAGAGAGAGAGAGAGAGAGAGAGAGAGAGAGTTGAAGTGAAATAGAGAGAAATATGGACAAATTTAACAAAATAGCTCATATTTTTTGTATTAATAGAAGTATTAATCTGTTAGGGTTAATACGTGCACAGATAAATCAGATCTTCAACATTCGGCAAAATTAACCAAAAACGATTATTGACTTGTGAAAACGAACCCATTCATGAAGTAAAAATTTAAACAAAAAGTTGTCAAGGAAGGAAGACAGCGATTGTCAGTACAATGGGTTTTATATGTCGTTCTAAAATCCTCCCTGTGTTTTCATCTTCCCTAGTAAACATAGTCCCCATTCATTTGGTCCGACTGTCGCAATGCAAAAGGGCAGAAGAAAAGCACCCGGATCTCATAAAGGGAGCTAATTGCAGAATCAACAGATAACCGATCCGAGCGAGGGCTCACGTGGGACGAACAGGAATAATTTGTTACGATCCTGTAAACACCGAGAGAGTTTATCTTCCTTTGGCCACAAAATTAGAATCCCTCTCTTAATCATTCCCTTTTGTACACAAACACGAGAAATAGTCTCGGATGGGATTTTTCTACTAAATTGTTTATTTATTTGCATTTTAAACGCAATATCAAACTCGCGAGCTCGCAATTACGTTTTTTGTTTACGAAGGGCTTCTCTTTACAGCTCGTGATTGATCAGGATCGAAAGAAAACTTCGCGTGAGACATAACCATCCAATCCAACTAAAACCGAGTACAATTAAAGGGTAGGAATCCTTTCTTCAAGACTCTGTCTCTCGGATAGCCGTTTTAATTAACTTAATGAAAACACACAAAAACACCGGCCTAATTGATAATTGTTCTTACTACTTTAATTTTGTTAACATCACTATGTTTCTTATCATTAGAGGCTATATTTATCATTTACGCTACATTAAGCATCCGATAGAAGATAATAAAGGTTAAAATTAATTTATAGTGTACTTTACATTTTATGAGCCCTTATGGACATTTATTTAGCGCATAAATTTGAAAATATTCTCGTATGTCAAACTTCAATGTTTGAGCACTATCTATCACTAATTTATTGATAGTGTGTGATGATTAGTGACCGTTAGTCGATGATTGTTCAGATATCGTGAGATGCGGTCGGGTGTGATGTAGGTTTCAGAAAAACGTTTTCTTTATCGTGCCAATGTTTCGATCTTTATTGAGATCATCTTCAGAGCCTGGGATTTACAAACATTGTTTACATTTAACAAATACATGTAGGATGTGGAAAAAAGTGAATTTATACAATGCAAAAAAATATTTTTTATATTCAATCAAAGAATTTCTACTCATTCAAAGTGTTTTCTGCGTAATTGTGCCATTCTTGCATGTCGTGTTAAGAGTGCCAGTGAGATATTGCTGTTTTATGTTGAATTTTGAATGGGTGGGGAGGGAAGTTGGTATAGAAAGACATTTTTGTATAAGAAGTCGGCTTGATTGAGGTGAAAGTAGCCGACGATGGGAAAAAAGGTTGATAATGGTTCGGCCAGATTATCCTTTCAGGATTATACAGACGGGGATAATTAGGGAAAGGAAAGCCAAATAGTTGAAAGTTAGACTATGTAAAAATGTTTGATGTGTTGAATGTGATGAATGTTTTATATGTTACATTATACGTTTTGTGTGATGTGATGATATACATATGTATGTTATGGATATTGAATCCGATTAATGATATTGGTATATCTGCGACCGAGTTTACATGTGTCTGTTCTGTAATTGATGCTGTGTTTAACCCATTTCTGTTGATATAAACCATTTCTAAAAAGTTACGTTTAAGTTTGTTTTGTTCTGTGTGTAAGATTTTTGGATTGTCGAAGTCGAAATTGTGTTGGTGTTCAAATGTTGGGTAGCGAGTGCTGTAGGATTTTGTTTGGTCTTTTTGCAATCATAGATATGTTGCTTTGCTTTCTTATCCAGATATTGGGATGTAATACCGATGTAAGTTGCCGGACAATTTAAACAATTGATTTTGTAAATTACGTCAGATTTATTTGTTATCGGCGTGGGATCTTTAATTTTGGAAAAAAGTGTGCGAATTGTTTTATATTATTGTATATTTAATCTTAAAACGCTAAATACTGTCAATTAAATGTTTTAATTAACAATTAATAATTTAATTAAATTAAACACTTTTCTCTCTCTTTCTCTCTCTCTCTTTCTCTTTCTCTTTCTCTCTTTCTCTTTCTCTTTCTCTCTCTCTCTCTCTCTCTCTCTCTCTCTCTCTCTCTCTCTCTCTCTCTCTCTCTCTCTCCCTCGCTCTCTCTATTTATCTGTCTGTCAGTCTTCATTTTATTATGTAATAAGAGACTATTAAATTAATATAATACTGTGTTTGTAAAGACGATTTCTGTTTCAACATTTACTTTGGGTGCATATTGGATTATATTGATTAAAAAGTTGATTTCTGTTAATTTTGATTGTGTTTTGTCAGGAAGAAAGCATTTATCATTTGTAAAATACAATAGGTAGTTGATTTTGCAAGTCAGGATTTAAGATTTTCTCATAGAAGAGTAGGTTTGTATGTAATTTTTTTTCGGTATACATCATTAATTATAATCAAATTGCTATAAATTATGAATTGCTAATTTGTTTTCACACCTGTAACGAATCGTTTCTGTAAAATCCAGTAATTTATCTTATAAGTGAAGAAAGTAAACATTATTTTATAACAGGATAACGATATTAATTAATGTAGTCATTTACTTCTCTCTCTCACTCTCTCTCTCTCTCTCTCTCTCTCTCTCTCTCTCTCTCTCACTCCCTCTATCTATCTATTTATCTAACTATCTCTTCTACTCTCTCGCTGTATGTAGCTGACCCTTCTTTTTTACACTCTCACTCCCCACTCTCTCTCATTAAATTTCATATTCACCTATTCATTTCCGAAATACAATATGATGGAATATTATTTTGTCTTTTTACATCTAATAATGAACAACAAATACTTTTATTTAATTAAATTAATGTAAATATTCACTAAGTATAAAGCAAAGGTAATAGTAGATTATTAACAAAATTAGTGTTCTGTTATCAAATATAATGCTGGTTTGTTTTTATTTATTAGTATTTCTAACAAGTGCGATAGCAGAGAGCTTTGAACGGTTTGTAAAATTACCCCAAATAAAAGCTCTCCGTTTGAAAAAAAAAGTGGAATACAAGAGGGGTGCAGGTTTCCGAGAGTCGAACCGCCTTGTTTCGTTGTTTTTATTCAAACCGCTACATAAAAAATGAAAACCAATTAGCCGACAAGTCCCAGAGTTGGCCGTAAAAGTAACGTAGAACGTAGAAAACATTCAGGAATGTTCAGTTGTCGTCCTACTTTTATGAGGGACAACGGCCGGGAGATTTGTAGCTACAGTCTTCCTAAGGTTACCCCCTTACCCTTCGCCGGACGTTTAAAATTTCCA